ACATTCCGGTCCTCTCGAAATTGTGCATGTAGCTGGGTTTAGGGGCAAAATTGATGTAATCGCGTAATATTTAGGGTTTGAAATGAACCAAAAATGAAATGAACCTAAGTGCTACAATTATAGACCAATCAACGCAGAATGCATACGTTTAGAGTTTAGTTAAATTTTTATGGTCATCGAATAGTAGTTATCGCGCGAAAACGACATTAACTTTTATTTAAAAAAAAACGACAATTTCCAATAAACCATAAATATTTTTAATTCCAACGAAATCACAAACACAAGAAAGGGTCACTTTTGACCATTACATTGATGGTGATATCCAAAATATCCCATATAGGTATAATAAAATATATACAATCTCTTATATAAAAGAAGGGGATGTTAGTAACACCTCTTATAACTCAAGAACGGCTGGACGGATTTTGGCAATTCGCACCAAATCAGAATGGCATTTTCAAAGAATAAAATGTAGAAAAATCGCAAAGAAAGACGCTAATAAAAAAATGAATATGTTTCTGTAAAATGTTGTCATCTTTTGTTATATTTTTATCGCATGAGTTTTTTTTTTTTAATTTGACTTACAATATTGAATTGTACATTTTGCAATATTTTTTCACCTTACAACACTATGTGGTGGGAGTATTATATTCAGATCGCAATCATGGTAGAATAATAAAGGTAAAGTCATGCAATCACATGTTAACAATTTTTTTTTTCAAAATGATTCATAATCATTCAATAAGATGTTGCATTGTCAAAATATATATTTATATATGAAATTAAAGTTTAGTACAAAGCCAAACATTTTTGATGGACCATGGACCACAATTTTGTGTGAAAGTATACCAAAATCAACGAAATCACAAATACATGAAAGGTGCACCTCTGGCCTTTACATTGACGCTGATTTCGTTGACGAATATAGCCAAATATCGGAGATATTGGAAATTATTAACGCTACATATTGAGCCAATGCTACGAAGATTTGCATAGCCCCGTGGTTTCGTTCAAATGGCCAATATAAAACTTGTGTAGGACTATTTGAACTGAAAACAAGTTAAAAGTATCAGTTGGTTTTGCCGACAGATGTATACCCTGATCCAATGTTTGATTATTTAAATATATTTTAACTTCTGTTATAGTTATTCAAATATTTGAATCTCTATGCGACGTGCCTGGTTTGGACTATTTTGGGTTCTTCCTTCACTTTATATAAGATATGTGATAATTTTTAGAAAACGTTAAAATGTGTGTATTGTACCAGATCTAGTCGATCAAAGTATTCCATTTTCATACTTCATCAAATACAGATAAAACCAGTAAAGAAAGTCTTAAAGTCGTGTCGGCTGTGCCGACTTTATGATACCCTACGCTACTTTGCTAATTTAGTAGAGCTCCACATAACAATTAAAAGTTTTTAGAAGCATTTGTATTTTTTTTAATACGGACTTGTATTGCCCAGTTGATATATATGGGAGCTATATCCAAATCTAAACCGATCTTGATAAAATTTGGCCAAGATATTTCTGAGCAGTATTTCATATATTTCCCTGAATATCGTTGTTACGGAGTGCATATTACGGCTGTGGGTAACAAATATAACAAATCGGATGAAAAATATATATGGGAGCTATAGCTATATCTGAACCGATCTTCGCCAAATTTGACATACTACCTTCTAGACTCAATTCGGTTGTAAGTGCTAAATTTCATCCCCTTTAGGCAAATATTAGACGTTTGGTGCACAATAAAAAGTAAATCGGACGAAGTTATATATGGGAGATGTATCCACATCCGAACCGATCTTGATAAAATATAGCAAAGGTATTTCCGAGCTGTATTTAATATATTTTCCCAAATATTGTTGTTACAGAGTGCATAATACGGCTGCGGAGGACTAAAATAACAAATCGGATGAATAATATATATTGGAGTTATAGCCGTATCTGAACCGATTTTGATCAAATTTAGCATACTTATTTTCAGGCCTAATGTGGTTGTATGTGCCAATTCCATACTATTCGGGCTGACATTACACGTTTGGTGCACAATAAAAGGCAAATCGGACGATGATATATATGGGAGCTATATCTAAATTTTGATCGATTATCTCCAATTTCAATAGGGTTCGTCCTTGGGCCAAACAAATGATTTGTTCAAAATTTCATCTGGATCGAGTATGAAATGCGAACTGTACTTTGTTCACAAAAATACATGGACAGACGGACGGACATGCATAAATCGACTTAGAATGTGATTCTATGCTGATCATCAAAAGGAACTATGGGTCTATCTCGTTTCCTTTTGCCTGTTACAAACAAATGCACAAAGACAAAATACCCCGACCACCTTGTGGTGTAGGGTATAAATATTGATATGGACAAAATTACAAGAAAATAAAATATTTATATCCAATTTTATGCGAAATCAGAAATTCAATTTTCATCTCAGATTTTGAGTTGAGGGAAATATTTAGATATAGCAAGTTGTAATGATTCGCGGACTTGTTTCGAAAATTATGAGAGATAAATTATTGAAAATGGTGACCCTTTTCGAGTGAGGTACCACAAGGGGTTCGCATATATATCTTCTTCTCAACAGATCTTAGCAAAAATGTTTGTTCGCGTGAAATCTGAGGATATTTGGATGCTTTTTTCCTTTCTTTGAGCGTTTTGTTTTTCGTAATCTTGAACCCTTTGTGGGGGTTCCGATCTCTACCATCTTTATAACAGGTCTTGTGTTGATGGAAATATTGAGATATACCAAGTCTGAATGGAATCGAAAGTTAATTTCGCGTTTTATGAGTTTCATGGATATTCAAAAATGTTACCCTTTGAGGTAGAGATCTTGTGTTAATAGGAATAATGGGATGTATGCAAAATAAAGAGAGAACCGGATGATTATTTCGGATTTTTTAATCGTTTTGGGTATTCAACATTTTGACCCATTGTGGGGGAGTTTGACGACGAAAATCACAAGGAGTTTCTTATCGTCCACACTCTGAAGTTATTTTTTATACCAATCGTATCTCGCAATTAATAAATAAAGAAAAACTCTTTTATTGAACAACCAAATCACACTGGTCTTTCTCTCTCACATATCATGTCGTTACAGGAGGTACCAGAAGGAAAGGTCCGATCTCTACCATCTTTATAGCAGGTCTTGTGTTGATGGAAATATTGAGATATCGCGTTTTATGAGCTTCGAGCATATTCAAAATTTTTGACCCTTTTTGGTTGAGGTGCCAGAAGGAGTGGACCGATATATTTCATCTTCACACCAGACGTTGGGTTGATAAAAATATGGTGATGTGTATAATTTGTAGACAATAGCATTTAATAAGAGTTGTAATTATTCAAAATGTTGACCTTTTGTGGGGGAGGTACCTGATGGAGTGGACCGCAAATATTAAGATTTGCAAAGTTGCAGCAAAATCGGATTATCCTTTCTCTTTCTGCGCAATAAATTATTTTCTTTGAAAAATTTTGACATTTTGTGTGGGAGGTACCAGAAGGAGTGGACCGATATTGCCCATCTCCGAGCTCGATCCAAGTTTGATAATAATATTAGGATGTACCAAGTTTGGACAAAATCAGATACTCACTTCGAGAGTTATCTTGCGCACCAGCCAACAAAACAGACAGACGGACAGACATCGCAAGACCAACTTCAAATGTCCTGAAACGGTTTTAGTCCACTTAGACCTAGGGTCTTAACCCGTTTGTTCGATGAGTAACGTTTTGGCTGTATCAAATGATATATACCCTCTATAGCCATATGACTGAGGGCATAAAAAGAATGAAATGGAAATAAATGGTCTGTTCCAGAACCTGCTAGAATCTACTAGTTTTGCAATTTGTTTCGATATTATAAAGGAAAAATCAGTTATCGTAGTAAAAACTTGCACATTCTTGCAGTTCTTGTAAAATATTAAAAATTATATTCCTTCAAAAATAGCGAGTTAGGTATTTCTTGTAAAAGCAACACCTTCTTCTTCAAATACAGATGCTCTTTTAGAGATAGTATGTTTTTTAGAAAATATTGGTTCAAGATATATGATGATTATTCGAAAGAAGGAGCAATTTGATTCAACATTTGCTTTATTACTTAGACGAGTTGGAGATATTTCGTAGTGAAATCTTCATTCCAGGTTTCAAATCTGCGGAAACCGCAAATTGTAGTAGATTACAGCCTTTGATTAGTTGTTTTTAAGTACAATAGTTGTTTTTTTTTTTTCAAACAGAGAAACCATAACTCTGTAACACAATATGCATAAGGCAGTTAATTTTCAATTTTTTATGTGGCCTTCATATTTCAGAAAAGTCTGTTTTCGCAAATTTTCAATGTTTTATATTCACACTGGGCAGAGTTCTACATTTCCTCCGCTCGTTCCAATGTGATGGAATTATTTTAACACTTTTTGCAGAAAACCTCACAAACATTTTTGTGAATTGTAAAATTCTGGTTTTACCCAAAAAAACAATGCATATCAGTACTTTTTCGGAAATACATGGGCATAGCTGACTTTTTCAAAACACATTAACTCTTCTCTGACTAATTATTTCCAACGTAAAAAATACCAAACAAACTTGCAATAACCTGATAAAAATAAATTCTCCTTTTGAGTTTTTCAGGAATTATTTTTGCTGAAACGTAAGATATTTCTGGACATTATAATTTAGAATTGTTATCAACTGGTGTGTTAGAATTCATAACAAGTAAAATTGAAATTATTCCAGCATATTATCCGATAAAATCCCACTCGAAAAATAACAGACCTTACACCCAAATGAAACTCACTTTAGTGGATTTCCTCTTCAATGAGCAATATTTTCTGAGTACGCCTATCACAGCGAGATTCGTACAAACGCACAAACCAATGCCGCCTGACCGCCCTCCCGTTTGCATACCAGACGGACAAAAAATCTTGGTTGATAAGAGGACTAAAACAACTCGCTGTGGTGAAAAGATTTCGAATAATATCCACTGCGGGCAACTAAGTCAGTAGTTAATTACAAACATCGGCCGCGTCAACATCTGCTCGAAAGTAATCCGAATAATAGGGTGCGCGTTAATCCGAAATCTATGCTATTAAAAGATAAAAGAACACTCAGTTGCAATGTGCCGGTATATCTTGATAATTGCCCTGGGCCTCGGGTGTCTGTCGAGTAGCAGTGGTGCTGCAGCAAATAATCGTTTACGTTGCGACCGACCGGGAGATTTGCCAAATGGATCGTTTCGTCTAAAACGAACCTTCATGAGAGCATTTTGCAACAACGGCTATCAATTGCAAGGACTAAGAACGATCGGTTGCGTGCATGGAAAGTGGGATGGTGAAAAACCTGTGTGCGCAAGTATGTTTCGCAAATGCATCAGCATTTCCTCAATGTGTCATTATAGTGCTCGAGCGGAAGTCGCAACAATTTCCTCTTTGAAAAAGCCCTACTCTAACGACGGAGCGGTTCTTTTAATCGCATTTCTAGTGATACAAGTAGCGATAACACAAATACATACATTGTTCACTTAATATAAAAAAAAAAATGTGGAAGTGAATGTCGCTTCTTGGAAATGTGAAATTAAGAAGGGAATTAAAATAAACAACAACAATGGATTCCTCGTCATGACCCTTGGAAATCCAAAGATTATGTTTTGTATCCTTATCAGCTGTAAAAAGTGACCTTGTCGAAATTTTAATGTAAATGACACTGCGTGATAAAATTTAAAGTGTTATGAATTGAAAACATTTAATTAATGCGCCCAAAATATTGCTAAAGGCTATTCTCTCTAATTCTGGAATTATCGGTATACACCATTTTTGTCACTCAGGGAAATATTTTTTAATTGCATTATACAACACGAAAATTACTAACCTTTTTCTATCACCACGACATGATAAAAGAGATGCGTCGTGCGGTTTTTTCCCATTATGGGTCCCCAAAAGTTTGAGACCCTGACGTCCACAGGTTTCATTTCGTTAGGCTAATATCTGGTATACCGTTTAGAATTTTTTTTTACTATTTGGGACAAAGTTGTTGCGTAAAAACCGTGAACGCACGAAATCAATAAAACTTCTTTTTCTGTGGGTCTCCTAAGTTCTGGAATATAGAAGTGTAACCATTGTAAAATTAAAGTACAATAATATAACTTACAATTCTGTAAACAAATTTATAAAAGGGAAATTAATCTTCATAGATATCATTTTTTTTCAATTTTTGGTGTGTATAAATATACCAGCAGACCCAGTCCCATTGTTTTTATTATGAAAGATCTTGTCAGAAGTGAAGACACATAAAACAAGTAAAAAAACTGTAAGTTCGGCCGGGCCGAACTTTGCATACCCTCCACCATTCGGAACGAATTTGGCAATTCTCAAAAACAATAAAAACCGTTAAAAATTCTGTTAACATCTTAAAAATACCGAATGTAGCTGTTATATAAGGGTCTATACGACGACATGGACCTGCATAGGTATCTTTTGTCATAAGCCATTACAATATTCAAATGCGAAACTGAAAAGAATCGGTGAATAATGTCGCTAAAATCATCAAAATACTGAATATCGGGAGGTACCGTTATATGGGGGCTATACGAAGACTTGGACCTGCACAGACAATTGTCTGTCTTAGGCTGTAGTATCAATTACGATCTTCAAATACCAAATTTATAAACAATTCCTGTGAATAATGTCGCTAAAATCATCAAAATACCGAATATCGGAAGGTACCGTTATATGGGCATGGGGGGGTCCACGAAAACGTGGACCTGCACAGTAAATCTCCTGTCATAGGCATCCATTACGAACATCAAATACCAAATTTGAAAGAATTCCGGAGAATAATGTCGCTAAAATCAAGAAAGCATCGAATATCGAGAGGTACCGTTATATGGGGGCTAAACCAAAACTTGGACCTACATGGCCCATTTTCTATACCAAAAGTCCTGCAGATGTCAATATATTTGAGTAAAATTTTATCAATCTGCTTCAATTCGTTCGGAAGCTAGAGTGACTTCCACAGACGGACAGACGGATAGACGGACGGACATCGCTAAATCGACATAGAATTTTATGCTGATCAAGAATATATATACATTGTGGGATCTAAAATGTATATTTCGAGATTTACAATAGGAATGACAAACAGTATACCCTCCATACTAAGGTCGAGGGTATAAAAACATACCTCTTCGAAGTAAATCCGTTACTGAGCTTATGGGTCGATCTAGCGATGCCCGTTCGTTTGTCTGACTGATGCGCACGATAACTCTCGAAGGGAGCATTCGATTTCGCCCAAACTTGGTACATCTTAATATTATTATTGAGTTCGGAGATGGTCAATGTCGTTCCACTCCCTCTGGTACCTCCCCCACAAAAGGTCTATATTAAGAAAAAAATGTTTACTGCACAAAAAGGGAAAGGATTATACAATTTTTCTCCAACTTTTCAAATCCTAATATTTGCATCAGTACTGGGTCAGGTGCGAAAATAGACAATATCGGTCCACTCCATCAAGTACCTCCCACTCCAAAGGGTCAACTCTTGAATAACTATAACTCTTATAAAATGTGATGTGAGAGTCCGATTGTCTTCAAATTACAATATTTTTATCAACTTATCTGGTGTGAAAATGAATTATGTCGGAACACGCTTTCTGGTACCTCCCCCACAAAATTATAATTATTTGTATTACAGGGATTTTAAAATGTGAGCGAAGTCGGTTATTCTACTCATTACACCCATTAACAATATGTAGATTTAATACCAAATAGTAAGAACTAGTCATTTATTGAACCCATTCATCCACTCCAAATTATCCATTATTGTCCCAAGTTCCACAATATCGTATAAAAATTCTTGAAACGATACATTCGTTAGCTTGGAAGATAAAGCGTTTTCATACCCGACATCACTTTGTCGTACAGGGTTTTATGTCCTTGTGCATTGTAACACATAAAATGAAACGAGATAGACCCATAGTTTCTTTTGATGATCTTCATAAAATCACATTCTAGTAAGCCCAATGATCGGTATAGCTCCCGTATATATTTTCATAGGATTTCAATTTTATAGTGCGCCAAATGTGTAATATTAGTCCAAATAGGATAGATTTAGGCCTATGCGACGGAATTCAGCTTAAAAACAAGTACGTCGATTTTGGTAAAAATCGGTTCAGATACAGCTTCCGATTTGACATTTAAGTCTAGCACAGCCGCAATATGCTCTCCATAAGGACAATATTCGGGACAATATATCAAATGCATCTCAGAAATACATCTGCTAAATCTCGATCGGTTTAGATTTGCATGTAAATCGTAATATATGGAGGGTATACAAGATATCACAGGCATCTTAGATATGTTTTTGTCATGAAATGTTTTGCGATTTGGATATATCTTTCATAGGTCATCGACACTACCTTAGTTCAATTAAGTTGTTTCAACACATTTTATACTAAGTATGCAATGACATTTGCTACCTCAGTCAGTTTTAGTGGAATTTGATTAAGATATAGCTTTCATATGTTAGTTCCAATCGATGAACTGCTCTAAGCCGTAAGCCCGCCCGACTTGTGTCTTTCCTTACTGCTTAAAAAGAGGACGTATGGAAGATACCATGACCCCTTCAAATTTCTAAAAAAATAATAGCCAATTTCCACCACAGTTAATTCCTAAATATTCTGTGAAAAATCGGTTAAGCCCTTTCGAGTCTATAAGGAACATTCAAGCATGACACGGCAACAAACATAATAACACACATACAAACTATACCTTAAACTAAAATGATTTCCCTTGTAATAGTAGTTTCTAGCCTCTGATGTACAATTATCTGGCGGATATCCCAAAACATGGACCACTAAGATCCCGAAATGTTATATTTCAGACATTTCTGTTGCAAAATTTTGCAAACAACAATAATCTCAAATTGGGTATGTCTTTAAATGATACGATCGTTCAGCTTTTTATTTTCCCTACGCATCCCTTATGACCGTGGATCCAAGTGAGAACTGTCTTGTCATTCAAATTTAAAGATCAAGTTCTTCCTTCAATTTGTACACGGTTTCATGTGACGATATTGGCTTTTTCTTCTCTGTTACCTCTGCCTAGCTTAGAGAGCTTAAGAGGAGTTTGTCAAAGAAATAATCACTCCTAGACCACACTGATTGTGGGCTACGTACCTGTGGCCGTTTCAGGACACCGTTCATGATGTCGACTACAATAAGACAAGTATCATCATATTGACGAATGTGGCCAAGTTTAACAAAATACATTGAATATCGAGCTTATCACACATAGGGCTATCCACTCGACTCCTATGTATGGAATCACACCTATAACTTATGAGTATAATTGTTTTAAAGTGTACTGATTTTTTAAATACGTGCCATTTCGTTTTATGAAAATAAGGCGTATCGAAAATATAGCAGATGTCGAAAAAAATTACTAAATTTCCTGAAAAAAATAAAAAATAATTATCTCTCAAAAATGGCTTATGAAATAATGAAGCACCACACCGAAGACATGTATGTTTGTGATGTGTGAGTTGTAAAATAGTCCTTACGACTTCTTATTCCTTACGAGGCATTTATTCGAGAACCGCGTGGAAATATGACCTTCGTTGCGTTTCACATCGCGCCATTTTGATTTTGGGCACATAGGCTCACAAACACATATATTGAGTGGTTCCACTCTTGTGTTCCTATAATCTTATGCAGAATTAATTACGGTTAAATGACACAATTTGCAATCTATGTTGGTTGCATATCGTTTTTGTGTGTTTTTGTCGTATGACATGTTGTTTTGGACTTTTAAATTATATTGTTCGGAAAGGAGGAGTACTACCACCACTGTGAAGCTTCCAAAAATTTCACAAGCAAACATTTTCTTTTAAATTTGTGGCAATTTTGTCATTAGGAGCTCAAAATATCGGAAATCATACAATTTGTTAGCAAATGAGCAAATTTATTACATAAATGAGCTACAAATTAAAGCCTGAAGCTGTAACCTTGAAAGCCTTTTTTCAAACCGCATGGTAGTGCCGACAAAAATATTTTCGTGGTGACAAATTTCGAACGAAACCCACAATTTAAAACCGCAACTTTATCATCCGCACAAAATGATAAACAACATATAAATATGTTATATAAATTTGGTAATGGACGCGATAAGCTAAGTGTTAGAAGCAAACATTTGAGAACAAAATACAATGTTCTACAAGTTAAACAATTTTTTTTTATATAAGAAAAATTTTTGGAAGTATATATTTGAGATTTAAAATAGAGACAATCTGGTAGACTTGTTGTCTAAGTTGTTTTTCTGAGCAAGAAATTTCGGGTGGGAGGGAAAATCTTTTATGTGTTCTATAAACACGTTCCTGAAAATTAACCCTACACAATCTTGAATATTTGCATTCCTTTTTCTTTTTTTCCTTTTTTATCACACTATCACGCTTGAATTCCATCACGAATAATTAATTATTAAATTTGTCATTCCCTTTGAAACACCTCTATATATTCGTCATAGACCCCACAAGGTACAGGATGAGATAAAAATACTGAAACAAAGTCAATCGCCATAATTTATATATATATTTTTTAGATTTTATTGAATGAAAGCAAAAAATGTCGTAAATAGCATCAAATTTTAGAATAAGTTTGATTTGTTCGAATTGGTCACCCTTGGCACGAATTATGGCCTTCAAACGGCCAATGAAACAGTCATATGCTGCCCGAATGTTGCTCTGCGGTATTTTGGTCCATTCCCGGCGAAGCGCTAGCTTGAGGTGATCGACACTTTGGCATTTTTTAGTGCCAACCTTGCTTTCCAAAATACTCCAGACACAATAGTTCAACGGATAGGTATCCGGAATTTTGTTGGCCACTGTGCGCTGGAAATGAAGCGAGGAACCCCATTTTGTAACCATTCTTGGGTGGCGCGTGCTGAGTCCTGTTGGAATGTCCAAGGTTTGCGTGCCCAAGGCCGTAATAAACACTCCAGAATATTTCAGCGGTCGATGGCCCACACCATCACCATGGCCAGCTAACCTCTTTGGCAAGTAAACATGATCATTTTGTTTGTTTACAAACAGCTGGACAAGGAATATTTTCTTATCGGAGAAAACCAAATTCGGCAGTTCACCACTTTCGGTCAAGCGAAGCAACTCTTTAGTTCTTTTGAATTCCAATGGGATATTGCGATATGTTCAGCTCACGAGCCATTTTTCGACCATTGCGACTCGGGTTTCGATCAAGTCGCTTCTTTACTTTTCGAACAATTTCTACTGATGTTGCTGTTTTCTTTCGTCCACTTCCTTGACGTCGGGCTATGCTACCAGTATGACGGTAACGAGCGTTGGTACGAGATACAGAAGATTTATTCACATTTAAAAGCTGGAGTGCTATAACGATAGCCACTTGCGGTTTTCCAGCCTCATATAAAGAAATCACACTATCGCTCTTAAGTTCCATCACGAATAACTTTTTTCTGGAAAATTCTCACCAAAATGCTTTTGTGCGCTTATGTCGGACGAGTGGCTTAGAAATGAGAGCAGTCTGAAGTTGGTTGCAGCTTTTTCATCTCAACCTGAATATACATTCAAGACCGGCATAAGATAATAAGTCGATTTAACGATGTCCGCCTGTCTGTTGAACTCACGATACAGCTCAAATTATTTGACGTAGAGCTTTAAAATTTGGCTCAGTAGTTTGCATTGTGTCTAGAATGGTTGGTATTGATAATGAGATATATCGGTGTGCGTTTTGGCGTAACGGTACCTCCCGATATTCGGTATTTGGATAGTTTTAGCCACCAATTTCTTTAAAAGCGGCGGTACATTGTTACTTGTTATACTTCGTTTGGGAGGTGCCAGAAAGAGTAGGCCGGCCCTCCTAAATTATCGTAACTTACTTAATTTTAATATAAATTTTATAATGTTCTCAGTTTCAACAAAAAAGGATATTAAGGGTTTGTACCACTATTTTTATCTTCAGAAAAAGGATGTGGAAAAGATTTAGACCTGCCTGATAATGGACGATTACAGTATGAATCCGATCTAAAAGCAATTCTCTACTGCATGGAAAATTACATTGTGGCAGGAAATAGACACGCATATTGCAATGGAACACACTGGGATCGGCCTCTGGGAACCTGTCGGCGTAAGTAAAGCTATTAGATCTAACTTTGAACTATTTATTCACAATAAATATTTTCTCAATAAATGTATTTTAACAGAACGAACTGGTAAAGTATCGCACGAATGTGATTTCGAAACCGACGATGTTTGTGGTTGGACCTATGAACCGATGGAGAATTTAGAATGGAAACGAGTGGCAGCTGCCAATGCATTCACATCGTTTAAGTCGGGACCTCGTACGGATCACACTACCATGACACACAACGGTGGCCACTACATGTTGATGGAAAGTCTCATCCGGCAGGATATGCCAGTAACTTTGATGTCTCCGATCTACGACAGGGAACTGTCATTGAAAACCGCATGTTGCTTCCAGTTCCATTATTATATGTATGGTGCAGGTGTGGGAACTTTGCTGGTTGTGGTGAAGCCATTGTCGATGAGTTTGGATGAGATTCTGCTTAGCGATGATGAGTATGTGTTGTAAAATACTTAACGACTTGAATATTTTTAATGGTTCGGCTCGGCCGATTAGTTTTCATTGTCATTGTCATTTCATTTAATATATAATTTTTAAATTGAAAATTTTTTAAAGTTTACAGTTATATGCAAATGGTCAATTTTAAAGGAGACTGGGTACCATCGTGAGTCTTTGTTACATTTAAAAATGTTTTTGCTCTCAAAATATATTGACCTCAAAATATTTGTCGAATTAGACATTTACCTAGCCCCCTGTAAGTACTTCAGATTTTCATACCCTACGCCACATAGCGGTAAGGGTATTGTGTCTTTGTGCATTTGTTTGTAACATGGAGAGATAGACCCATAGTTACTTTTGAGGATCTTCATAGAATCATGCATGTCAGTCCATCCGTCTGTCCATATATTTTTGTGAACAAAATGAGGGTTGCATTTAATATCCGATTGATATGAAATTTCCCAGACAATATTTGTTCGGTCCAAGGACGAATTCTTTTGAAATTGGTGAGAATCGGTTGAAATTTAGATATAGCTCTCATATATATCTTCAACCGATTTCGGGTTAATTGTGCGCCAAATGAACAATATCAGTACAAATGACCTGAATTTTGGTACATCCGACCTAATTCAGTCTAGAAGCAAGTACATCAAATTTGGTTCAGATATAGTTATAGCTCCCATATATATGTTTTATCCGATTTGGTGTTTAAGTCCCTCACATTCGTAATATGCATCCCACAAGGAACATATTTGGTGAAAGATACCAGATACATCCCACAATACCTCTCCCAAATTGTATCAAGATCGGTTCAGATTTGCTTATAGCTCCCATATATATCTTAAACCAATTTCGGCTTAATTGAGGTCTAAAAGTCCAATATCAGTCCAAATTACCTGAATTTTGGCACATACGGCCGACATCGTAAGCACATCAAATTCTGTGGAAATCGGTTCAGATATAGCTCTAGCCCTCATATATATGTTTCATCCGATTTGGTCTTTAAGTCCAGTCACATTTGATACCAGATATCTTAGAGAGCTCGGAAATGCCTTTGCCAAATTTTATCGATATCGGCTAAGATTTGGTATATATCCTTAATCCGATGCAGGTTTATTGTGCAAATAATGGCTAATATCAGCCCAAATGAAGTGAATTTCGGGAAGTTGGTAGAACTCGGCTCCGATATATATTTATACCCTACACCACATAGTGGTAAGGGTATTATGTCTTTGTGCATTTGTTTGTAACATGGAGAAGGAAACGAGATAGACCCATAGTTACTTTTGAGAACCTTCATAGAATCACTTTCTGAGTCGATTTATGCATGTCAGTCCGTCTGCTCGTCCGTCCGTCCGTCTGTCCATGTATTCTTGTGAACAAAATGCAGGTCGCATTTATTATCCGATTGAGATGAAATTTTCCAAACAATACTTTTTTGGCCCAAGGACGAACCCTATTGAAATTGGTGAGAATCGGATCAAATTTAGATATAGCTCCCATATATATCTTCATCCGATTTCGGGTTAAATGTGCACCAAATGTCCACTATCAGTCCAAATTACCTGAATTTTGGCACACCCAACCGAGTTCGGTCCAGAAGCAAGTATGTCAAATTTTGAGAAAATCGGTTCAGATATAGCTATAGCTCCCATATATATCTTTCATCCGATTTGATCTTGAAGTCCCTCACATTCCTACTATGCACTCCACAACCGTGATATTTGGTACAGGTATTAGATGGAGCACAGAAATAGCTGTTTTCAATTTTATCGAAATCGGTTCAGATTTGGATATAGCTCCCATATATATCTTCATCCGATTATGGGTTAATTGACCACCAAATGGCCAATATCAGCCCAAATGGCCCGAATTTTGGCACATGTGACCGGGATTAGCCTTAAAGCAAATACAACAAATTTGGAGAAAATCGGTTCAGAAACCGCTATAGCTCCCATATATATGTTTTATCCGATTTGGTGTTTTAGCCTCTCACATTCGTAATATGCACTCCACAAGAATGATATTTGGTACCAGATATAAGATACAGCCCAGAAATAGCTGTTTGTAATTTTATCGAAATCGGTTCAGATTTGGATATAGCTCCCATATATATCTTCATCCGGTTTCGGGTTAATTGTGCACCGAATGGCCGATATAAGTCCAAATGGACTGAATTTTAGTACATCGGACCAAATTCAGCCTAGAAGCAAGTATATCAAATTTAGTGAAAATCGGTTCAGATATAGATATAGCAACCATATATATGTTTCATCCGATTTAGTGTTTTAGTCCCATACATTCGTAATATTCACTCCACAACCGTGATATTTGGTACCAGGTATTAGATGGAGCACAGGAATAGCTGTTTTAAATTTTATCGAAATCGTATTAGCATCAATTTTGGGAAATCCGACCGAATCCAGCTTAGAAGCAAGTACACCAATTTTAGTAAAAATCGGTTCAGATATAGCTATAGCTCCCATATATATCTTCATCCGATTTCGTGTTAATTGTGCATCAAATGGCCAATATCAGCCCAAATGGCATGAATTTTGGCAAATTCAACCGAAACCAGCCTATAAGCAAGTACACCAATTTTAGTAAAAATCGATTCAAATATAGCTATAGCTTCCATATATATCTTTCATCCGATTTGGTCTTTAAGTCCCTCACATTCGTAATATGCACTCCACAGGAATGATATTTGGTACCAGGTATCAGATAAAGCCCAAAAATAGTTGATTTTAATTTTATTAAAATCTGTTCTGATTTGGATATGCCTCCCATATATATCTTCATCCGATTTCGTGTCAATTGTGCATCAAATGGCCAATATCAGCCCAAATGGCATAAATTTTGGCAAATCCGACCGAAACCAGCCTATAAGGAAGTACACAAATTTTAGTAAAAATCGGTTCAGATATAGCTCTAGCTCCCATATATATGTTTCATCCGATTTGCTCTTTGTAAGGGATTACATTCGTAATATACTCTTCACAGGAATGATATTTGGTACCAGATATCAGATAAAGCCCAAAAGTAGTCGATTTTAATTATATCAAAATCTGTTCAGATTTGGATATAGCACCCATATGTATCTTCATCCAATTTCGTGTTAATTGTGCAACAAATGGCCAATATCAACCGAAATGGCATGAATTTTGGCATATCTGGCCAAATTCAGCCTAGAAGCAAGGACACCAATTTTAGTAAAAGTCGTTTCAGAGATAGTTATAGTTCGTAAAATGCACGATAGAATTAGATAGATTTTGATTTTGTACCAAATATCTCATAGAGCTCTGAAATGCCCTTTGTAAAACTTTTTACGAGAGCTCTACTAAATATGCATAGTGGTGTAGGGTATTATATAGTCGGCCCCGCCCGACTATTGAGCTTTCCTTACTGGTTTTACTATAATCCTTCTCGAAGTGATATCAATAGCAATTTTATCTGGAATAAAAGATAAAAATGTCTCCGTTAAATTTAGTGAAACTCGATTCAGAATTGGATATGCCTCCCATATATTAGTTCCCTCTGAAACCAAGTTATAACTGTTATAAAGCCAAATGTTGATAGGTATCACCTACTTCAAATAAATCTACTTCAAATAAATTCTTTTGTTACGGGATCTCTTCTAAAGGTGCATGGTGGTGTAGGGTATCATATAGTAGTCTCCGCCCGACTTTTCACTTTTCCAGCGCCCGCATATGCATGCCACCCAATTTTAAACAATGCATTTCTAATTGAGCGTTTAAGATTCCTTGAGTATAGCAATGTCAAACTCCAATAAAAAAAGGCTATAACTCTTTAGTTCCACAGATAAAAATCCTCGAACTTCATTGACAGATTAAGTTAAAGTCGATTCAGTGCGAATCTGTCCTTATGAGTTCTCAATGTATTTACTAAGAGGTTCCTTTCCCAAAGAAATATCCTGGTTGAGTAGGTCAATCGAAATATATATTTCTAGATTGAATCAATGTTCGTTGAAATCATTTTTCATCTTTTGTAATCTTTAATCATTTATATTTCTAGACGATCCACACTAATTAAATTTGAGAGAAATGGAAATCAGAACAACGCCTGGAATGAAGCCCATTTTAGCATTGAAGAATTGGAAGAAGATTTTCAAATAGTTTTTGTATCCAAGGCCGGGCGTAATCATCTCAGCGATATTGCGGTGGACGATGTTCGTCTTATGACAGGAGACGAGTGTAAGGCCTTGGATAAAAACAATGATGACACAATGTCCAATGAGGAATACGATACAACAACATGTACGCATACAATTATTTATTTTACATAAGCGAGTGGTTTCAAATGTTAGTATTTTTACACAAATTCCTTTATAGATCAGTCCATATTTGATATGCAGTCTTGTGCCAATCGATGTTTTAAGACCAGCGGCATAGGAATATTGAGTGATTCGGGTCATCTTATGGGTTTGTGCAGTTGTTCTGCCGACTGCGAGGAGTTAGACACCTGCTGTCCTGATTTTAAGAGCTTGTGTCTCACAGGTAGGTTTGAATGTTCTTGAGATTTTTCTAAGTTTCTCATTTTATGTCATCTTTAGAATTGTTTGAGCAGACCACAATTGAATCATCGCAAAATGGTAATGACTCTCAGTTCACTGAAATCACAATTACACCTACAGCAACTCCAAGTACAACAATACCGACAACAACAACTGCAAAAGTTGTTCCAACAACGACAACAACCACAACTAGTACTACCACAGTGAAACCTACAACAACTACGCCGAAAACTACCACAGCAAAACCGACTCCATCCACTACAACTAGAAAGACTACACCATCAACTACGACCACCCGCAAAACAACACCTTCTACCACTACCACCAGGAAGACAACACCAACAACCACTACAACGACAACCACAACAACAACTACTACTACTACAAAAAGGCCAACTCCCACTACAATAAGGACCAGCAAAGCCACAACATCAACAACAACTACCACAACAATTCGCCCTACATCTACAACAACTACTAATAAACCCCAAAAACCCACCGAAACAACAACGCCCCATGCTCAAGTCCCTGAAGCACCCATTGGTAAATTTGAGAATGGGTTTTCTTAGCATTTCAATTAAGTGTCCCTATTTCATTTCAGTTAAAACGCCCACACAAAAACCATCTATGGCTCCAAAAACCTACGTCATTGACAACGAAACTCATGACGAAGCTCCCCATCATGGCTCGATCGCAATGCTATGTATATTCTTTGCAGTCATAATCGTATTAATTGTTAGCCTAGCGTATCGGAGGTACGGCGATCGGGCCGCTGCGTGGTACATGATTCGCTTTAGCAAACGGAATTGCGGAGACGACGGCACACCTGTAGCCACGACATTAAACGGCACGACAACGGCTGTTACTAAAAAGAGCGAAACAAATATGAGAACCAAACCAAAAAAGAAGTCTCGCGGGTATTCTGAAGATTTCACACGACCGCTAGTCGATGATGATGACGATGCAGACAATGATGAGAATTATCCCATTAACGGGAATATAGTCTTAAAGAATCACACATATACTGAATTATAACATTAAAATAAAAAAAGTATGTATAATAAATTGATTATTCTAATTAAACCATAGAGAAGTTAAGTGTCTTCGGGCTTTTAGCTTAATGTGAAATTTACGTTAAAAGTTAGAAAAGATATGCCCGTCATATACCATGTGAAACTCAGCGGAGTTGAAGAAAGGACTCTCAAGAGTTCGTGTTGAGAGCAGATTTGGTGCGGGGTGATATGAGCATACGAAAATAGAAATAGTAAAGGGATAATGTATGGATGGAATTTGTATATTTCTAAATAGATTTCATGGCTTATTGGTAGATTTTTTTCAGAATTAGAATAAAATTTGATTTTTTTAAAGTATTTTCCGAGGGACTACCACACCTATAATGGTGGATTTCTAACTAATACTTTTGGAGGCTTTGATTTTTTATAGAAGGTTTTAAAGATAATTTTCAAAGGACATATCAGGCAAGAAATGTGGTAGCTAAAGATTTTTTAGAACTTATATCAGAAAAAAAAAATAGTAGATATATTTGAAGGTAATTATATTTTAATTTATTTTATTAAATTACACATTCTAAAAATAAACCAGTAAAGAAAGTCCTAAAGTCGGACGGGGCCGATTTTATGATACCCTACACCACTTTGCTAATTTAGTTGAGCTCCACTTAGTCCTGTTGGAATGTCCAAGGATTCGGCCAAAATGTTTGCGTGGTCAACTATTTGCGTGTAGCCTATTTTCGCGATAATATTCGGCATTTATTCCGATGCCACGGTCGATTAATACGAGCGGAGAGCGACCATCGGCTGCTAAAACATATATATGGGAGCTATAGCCATATATGAACCGATCTCTAAATTTGATTTACTTGTTTATAGACTGAATTCGGTGGGATGTACCAAAATACAGCTCATTTGGACTTGTATTAGCCATTTGGTTCATAATTAACCCAAAATCGGTTGAAGATGTATGGGAGCTATATCTAAATCTGATCTGATTATCACCAATTTCAATAGGGTTCGTCCTTGGGTAAAACAAATTTTGCTTCATCTCCATCGGATAATAAATGCGACCTGCATTTTGTTCACAAGAATACATAGACGGACGGACGGAGAGATGGACTGACATCCATAAATCGACTCAGAAAGTGCTTCTAGCAATATCCTCAAAAGTAACTATGGGTCCATCTCGCTTCCTTCACCATGTTACAAACAAATACACGAAAACATAATACCCTTACCGCTACGAGGTGTAGGGTATAAATATTCATATTTTTATTAAAATCACTTTATGTGATTTTTCTAGATTTTATTCTGTTCTGCCCAATCCTATTCTGGTGAGAATCGACAAAATTCGTCCAGCCGTTCTTGAGTTAAAAGCGGTCTATTTAACATCCCCTACTTTGATATAGGAGATTGTATATATGTTGCTATATATGCGATATCTTGAGTATCAGCATCAATGTAACAGTGAGTGGCATTTTCGTGTATATGTTATTTCGCTGGAATTAATTCCCGGTTTAATGGACATTTTCGTATTTTTTACATAAACGTGTTGGTTTATATCACCCATCCATATTGGTAGGCTTCAGCCTAGCCCTAAACGCTAGTCTCATGCAAAATTCGGCGCCGATTGGACTTTAATCTGCAAAATCAAGAAATTTTTTTTCCATGCAAAATTTCGTGTGGATCGGACCAAATTTGTGACCTGTAGGTTGATTACAATTTAACATGGACGAGCATAGCTAAATCGACTCCGCTCGGTACGATAGAAAGGTCAATATATAACATCCTATGTCTTGGACCAATATTTCGAGGTGGGCCAATCAAACTTATAATACCCCCAACACATAGTTTTGTAGGGTATAAACATTATATTAAGTTTGTCATTCCGTTTGTAACTTCTCGCAAATAAGCATTTTAAACCCTTCAAAATTAGCATATTCCTTATCATCATACAATTCTATGTCGATTTAGCCATGTCCGTCTGTGGAAATCATTCTAGCTTCGAATACTTAGAATAAAGTATCTTTATAAAATTTAAGTCAGATGTACTTTAGGGCCGTAGAATATTCTGTATTTAATGAGCTGTATTGGTTCATGTTTTGGTGAAGCCCCTTTTTAACGATAGGGCCCGATTAATGAATTTTAGTTACAGTTCACATTTCATTTAGCTAAAAATAATTGTGTCTTCACGTTATGTCCCTAGACCATAGATATTATTTTTGTAAAGGCCCCATATATGAGGTTCATAATGAAAAGCTTTTGACATATCTCTAATGCAACAGTAATCCAAATTTAAGGTGAATAGTATACAAAGTTCGAACGCAACGCTGCAACGCTTTCAAGGACTACAATTTTTTTTGTTAGGTTTAATGACCAACTAAGAGACACTTCTCCTCAAATTGTCATTCATAAATGAAATTAAAATACCGAAATCGTTTTCTTTCCACAACAGTTTCTTCATTAAATTCCTTTCATTTGCATTTTCAGATATCAGCAACAACAGCAGCAACTGAAAGAGGAATTAACAGCCACGTCAGCCAAATTTAACTTCGTTTTTCACTTTTTTCGCTCCGCTTTCCTAAATTGCTTCGCTCTTCTTTACGTTTATCCGTTATGAATACAAGTGCTTGGCGTATCCCATATCATCATTAATGGGATAAACAAAAAGCAATAACGACTAGATGCTACTGTGCCCAAGTCAATCCTTTGTAAGTGTTAGATTCTACCCTCAGGGCTTTAGCATTGTAGCAGTCATCTCTGGCCTACCATAGACAGAACTGCTAAGACCACTCTTATATCATACTTCCATTGACCATGATTAAGGGGTGGTAGTTTCTCGCAATGGGTTCCTCGCTGAGACATTCACACATACACACGCTCGAGCATACAATTGCAGGATATCAATAAAGTCACGTGTCTCCATGCATTTTACCATCAACAATTGCCTTGGGCTGTGGGCAAAACGCGTCATATCAACACAGAAGAGTGTTTGGCCGGTTGGTTGCTACAATTTGGCAATTGTTGCTAAATCCAGGGCTGGTAGTCAACCGTCGTTTTATAAAAGAGGACAGGGATTGTAACACGTAATACTTGTTGGTGATTTAGTGGCTGTCGTCGAACGCCGCCCGCCACACGGCCCTCACTAATGCAACCATAAAAAAACACAACTCGTTGTGCTTCAGATTTTTCTCTTTAAGTTTGCCAAAAATTCCTGGCGCAATGTGAATGGAAAAATTTCGAGATCTAAGAATTCCATTGAAATTTAGAAATAAAAATATCTGTTGGTTAAACCGTTTTCACGATTCTCAAATCTTTTGTTTCAAATTTATGTGTGTGAGAACGAACGAAAGATATCCGTCTCACCCCCTCAAAGTATGGTTTGTTCAGAGAACGATTGCCTTGAGCATAATCCTCTTTTAATGATTTCGTATACAAATTAAGTGTTTCGCTAAAGCGACAATATGCCAAACATTTTTTCGACGAATTTAATTGGAATCGACTCAGCACAGTATTGTTGTTTTTTTCGCTGGGGCGGGATAAGCTCGGAGAAATGAGCAGTCACAATGAAATTTTAAACCCTTCCGTAACCGAAACGTTGTAAATAATCGAAAGCACGAATATATTATACACAGTATCACTGCCTTTACACGGTGACATTTTTTAACCATGGCATTTTTTTTTGTTGGTAAAAGGTGTAGAGAGACAAGGATAGAAGAAAAAATGGCACGGTAAGCCACCGCACAGGGTTACATGCCATTTTCTTTGCACTTCTCTTTTTGCTTCTTCTGAATTTTTTATGATTTTGACCTTTCATATCGTTTTTTTATTGTAATTTTTGATGCGTTTCTTTTATTGCGATGTGATGTTTTTAGTGATTGAATTGTATAGTGAATTATATGAAAATTAATTGGAAGTATTAAAAAGTAAAAAAAAAAGAAAGTTAAAATAAAAGTTAATAATGCTATATTTAACACCTCAATAACTTTTTCCATCATTTCTTCTTTAGATTCACACATTTAATTTTAAATCACTTCTTTATAAATATCTGTTACAAACAATTAGCTCTATACGAAATACTGAATAAAATAAAATGTCAGAAAAAATGCCAAGCACTATTACCGTAAAATGCCACCGTGTAAAGGCGCGAAGATTTACGCAGAAATTTTAAAAGAGAATTGATAAAAATGCCAGCTAAAAATTGCACCGTGTAAAGGCAGTGTATGTCGCAAAAATAAGTGTACATTGTTTCTTGGCATTTTCAGAACGGGAGATTATCATTTAACTACAACCTCTTTTTTTAATGTGCCCGACCTTTTAATTTTTTAAACGAACATTATATTCGTATCTAAAATATTTACGTATGACGAGTGGCGTATTTTACAAATATGACAAATATTCTATTATTCTCGGCGTTCCCTGGCACGTAAAAACAGTTATATGTCCTATATCTAGGGAAGACAAAGTGTATTTATTTAGCTTGTATTAACCTTAAATAAAACAAAACAATTAAGCAAAGACTACAGTCGTGCGGGGCCGACCATGTGATACCCTACAACATGGTAGAAGCCCTTTTATGTCCAAATCCATTTTGGAAGATTTCGCTTTTAAAATTATGTCACGGAGCACTGCCCAGATATTACCCTTAGCATTTTGACCAGACACATTTACCCAATATTTACGCACTCCAACGTGCTATTAGTTGTTATGATCCATTTTACAGCTAAATATAATCCAATGGTCATCCAAAATGCTAGAATTCTTCCCCATTCTTCACTTTCTTCCCAGGTGTGTCGATTGGCTTCAATTGTGATCAGGATTTTTTTCTGTTTTTGATTCATTGAACCCCTAACTATTTTGCGATCATCTCCAAAAGCAAGAGTCCCCTCTGTATCAGCATAAAAAAGCTAGAAGTTCGCCTTTCGTGTATTTCGGATATCGTCTGTATATAATGTTGGTATTTTGTCACACATAAATAGTGGTCCATTCTACCCGCTGTCCTAAACTCTAACTTCATGCCAGATTTCGTGTCATTTGGTTTCTATTTATGACCTTTATAACGGCTGCAAA